GTTTTTCCATTGATGTCTGTCTTCTATTTCATAATCCATTCCAGAATATGACATTGCATTTCATTCATTGAATTTTTAAAGCATATTTATCAGAGCAAAGTAGATAGGAGGTAGTGTGGTTTAGTGGAAAAAATGTGGACTTGGGGATCAGCTAGCTAGTAGTCTTAATCCTAGCTCTGCCATTTATTAGCCACTTGACCATAAAAGGTGGAAAGGATTGTTGTGAGGATTAAATGAGATAAGGTGTGCCAAAAAGGACCTGGCAGGCAATTAATCTTTGTTAAATGTTTGTTATCTTCCTCCTGATAGTGCAAAGTAGGAAACTTTTCAGTTGCATATATCTAATGAAAACTCATTTGGCTATATTATAGGGCAATCCAAGTTCAGGTCATAGGACTCTTCTTCAGGCTTATTATCAATTAAATATAGTGCGTTTATTTGGAAAACCATGTATTGGGTTTCTGCATGTCTTCTGAGCATGTCTTTTGCCTCCAGAGCACCAAGTTCAACAAATCATATAGAAGCAGCAGTGGCCTTTTATGAATTTGCCCCCTATAGCTACAGTGGTGTTGTATATAGCTCCAGGAGGAGATTCCTGTAGAACCAGAAGTGAAATGCAACACCCAGCTCTGGATTCCTTTAGCAGGCTGAGCCTCAGGCTCATTCTGGCAGCAATTCAAAGTGGGACCGAAAGTCCTCCACTTAAACTGGGTCAGCTCCTTTGGAATGGAACACCAGACTTGAGGGTCTGTGGAGTTAATCTCAGAGCACTGATTTACAAATGATTTGTAAAATTGTTGAATACTTGGGGCGCCTGGGTGGCTCAGTCGTTAAGTGTCTGCCTTCGGCTCAGGTCATGATCCCAGAGTCCTGGAATCGAGCCCCGCATCGAGCCCCGCATCGAGCCCCGCATCTGCAGGGAGCCTGCTTCTCCCTCACCCACACCCCCTGCTTGTGTTCCCTCTCTCTGTGTCTCTCTCTGTCAAATAAATAAATAAAATCTTTAAAAAATAAAAATAAAAAAATAAAATTATTGAATACTTCTACTTCCTATGTCTGCCGTGCTGTAAACACTTGAGTCTGCTGTCCTGATACGTAGTCTAAAGTGGTGTTGTGATTTGGGAAAACAGAGTTGAGGCTGGGATTGTGTGAGGGTGAAAAACAACCTGCTAGTTTCTGGATCTTTTCCTTCCTGCCTGAAGATAGTGATGAGCGTATATGGAAATCTTTTGCCATTTTAGTGTACTGGAAAAAATCTGGCTCGGCACACATTTTTACTCTTTGCTTGAATGTATTTAATGGTGTTGACCACCAAGAGGAGAGATGTCCTTTTTCAAGGCTGACTTTGGCTCCCTTGATAGGGAAATAGAGGGAAGGCCTATATTACTGTATGTTGGTGGGTTCTTTCCATTTCAGAAGCTCATGTACTGGTACTGTTAAGAAGTTAGGTTGTAAAGTAATCTCCCAGGTAGAGGGGGGTGTTCTACTGTTACTTAGTGACCAACGGTTGATGATATGTAGTCAACGTTTCTGAAGGATCATTCATTTGCCAAATATTTACTGAGTCCTGCTTAAGTACAAGGTATTCCATTAGCTACCGGATGATAGCAAGATAAATATTTTGGGGTCTCTGACCCTGAGGAGCTTAAAATCTGGTGGGAGAGATAAAACACATCCATTAGGAAATACAATAGAGGGGATGGGAGTAGGCATCTTGGGGACAGATTATGAAGGTCTTGGAATGGAATGCTCAGCTTGCTGTGGTGTGGAGCACAGTAGTGGTCTCTGTCCACAGTAGTCTGTGTGTAATATCATAGCCACAGTTGATTGGTACAGGGATGGACACTTCCCCCAAAGCAAAACATTCAGAATCCTTTTCGGGGGTTTTTCAAATTTTAATGAAGAAAAAATTTAAGACTGGTAGAGGGAGCCTTGGATGTGATGCTTGGGAGTTCTCAGTAACCAAGCTATCTGCCTGTGGAGAATGCCGATGAGCAGTAGGTAGGAGGGAAGGTGACCTAGTGAGTCTCATGGATGATAGTGGAGGGAGAAGATCCTGATCTTCTAATTCTAATCATCTCCCGGGCGTAGCAGCACTCTTGCCTTTTTGTGGTGATACGGATTTCCCTAGAAGCCAGAAACCCCCTTGAACTGGACTCAGCAAAAATGTGAATTTATTGGAATCCGATACCAAACAAGGTGAAAAGCTGGAATGCAACTGGTTGGACTTTAAAAGACCTGTTGTCCCATGTCACTTGCCTCTTCTCTCTAGTCAAGTTAGTTTTTGTCTTTCACAGGGCTTTCCCCAGAAAGTTGGAACCAGGGCTCCCAGTAGTTCTCAATTCACATTTTCTAGCTTCATTAAAGGGGTTCTACTGCTTTTCTTTTACTGCCAATTTGAAAAATTCTAGGGAAGATCTCTGATTGGTCCAGTAAGGGTTGTATATCAACCCCTAGGCCAGAGGGCCAGGATTGTGTTTGGCAAGCCCATTAGAACCACAGAAGCCTGTGGGGGAGGAGTTGCTTTCCATAAGAAGGGGAAGGATGCTATCTTTAGACAAGGGACAAAACAATAAATGTCCCCTAAAGATGAGGAAAGCCCAGTCTGGGTCCATAGCCTGGGGGCTAGGAAAGAGGGTCTGCATTGGAGAAACATTGCCCCTGGGAGATAGAATCTACAGACAGGGGAATGCTAGAAGATGAGCAGATTTGGGAAGAGAAATAATGGGCCAGTTGGGATGCTGCTGTTTTAAGAAATGTAGGAAACCTGATAGTTTGGTGTTTTTTTTTTTTTTTTTTTTTTTTACAAAGGCTGAGGTTCCATTTGAATCAGAAGTCAGGTGCTGTTTGGGCTTTCTGATCATTCTATCGTAGTGAACCCCACGAGTAATAATGGTATGCATTTCAGGGTTTCTATTATGTACAAGGCATTGTAGTAGGGCCACATGTCACGTAATTTAATAATTGCAGCAACCCCATGAAGTGTATTACGTGGAGGAAAGTAACTGAGGTAAGGGAGGATAAGAAATTTGGCTCAAAAACAGGTCTGTCTGATTTAAGAGGAGTCCAGGTTCTTCCCATTACATTGCCTATTTTAGATACTACTACTGACAATAATACTTATAGTACTGTTAACAGTGGCTAACGGTTATTGAGCTCTTACTCTGTGCTAAGCACTTTAAATGAAATAACTCACTTAATCTTTACAAATATTGTCCTCGATTTATAGTTGGGAAAACTGAAGCCTGAGGTCTGTCCTGCAACTAGAAAGTGATGAAACCAGCACTTGAATTCAGCTCTCTTGGAGTGAGGGGCCAAATCCAAAAGCACTACTTTCTGCTGTCTCTAGTTGCATGAGTAATGCTCATCCAATAAGAGTTCCAAGTCAGCTGTTGCTACCATCCTTCTCTGATAGTAATTTACAACCTGGGAAAAGGATAAAGCTGGTAGCAGTGTTTCCTCCCACAGTCTTCAGCGCCTTCTTTGCCTTGGTGTCAAGGCTAAAGGTAAAACAATTCACAAAGTGGTTGGGGTCTCCTGTTCAAGGACATGATTAAAGATGTCCTGGTGGTAATAAACAATAATGCCAACTTAATGAATGACTTCTCAGCGTAGTGTTAGCTAAAAAAACAGGTGAATCCCTGATGTCTACATACTAATATAAGCCCTGTGCTGCTGTAGCTTGCTTTGGTCTGCTGGTTCCCAGATGTGGTATCCAGCTGTTCATCAGGTTCCTCCTCTGTAATCCATGGAAACCTCAACTGTATTACCACACCATGGGTTTCCTACTGAGTTCACTGTTTAAAAAAGTGGGAGTTGGAGTGTTCCTTTTTTATGTTTTTATTGAGGGCGCCTGGGTGGCTCAGTTGGTTAAGCGACTGCCTTTGGCTCAGGTCATGATCCTGGAGTCCCAGGATCGAGTCCCACATTGGGCTCCCTCTGACCCTATCCCCTCTGATGTGCTCTCTCTCTCTCTCATTCTCTCTCTCAAATAAATAAATAAAATCTTTAAAAATTTATGTTTTTATTGAAAAGAGAAAAAGTGCTATGAAAAGGTAAAATTACTATGTGTGTATATAGCTGATATGCATTGTATGGGTTAATTTGAAAAACTTTGCTTTCCTACTTCTGATGGAATTCGGGTTAGATTATAAGATAATGCTTGGCTTAAAAATTTTTTCACAGTAAACTAGTATTTGATGCTCATTCATTCATTCTTCACTCTACTTATTCAATAAATATCAGCAAATCCTTATTATGGCGTTGAACATGTGTCCCTTACGGAGGGTGGAGTTTATCCAATAGAGCTGTTTACAGACTTTGTTTTGCAATCTGGATAAATGCAGTGGATGTGGCTTACAATTGCTGAAGAGACTCAGGCTCTCAGATCTTACAATTGCTGAAATAAAGTGTATATTCTTGGGGGTGTTGGGTATAAGAACCAGGTGACGCCATTAAGTACGCTTGACAGTCTTGAAGTAAGTGACTCTCTGCAGATGCCAGATATTATTTATAGAAGTATCTGACATTTAGTGAGAATCTGTAATATTTAGGGTCAGTGTAGAGACTTTTGTTCTAGATCATTTTTCCAAACTTTTATCGGCAAATGCATCGTATTTTCTGTGCTTGCATGACTGTGCAAGTATAAAGGAGAGTATAAAGCACAGGCTATCAAATTGTTAAAAAGAAAATGCCAGTCTGAATTATTGATTATGTACCCAGGGCATAAATCTTTGCAATCATGGTAATGTTTCCAGACAGTACAAGATGGAATCTATGTTCTTAGCCTTTCCCTGAAAAATACTGCTAGATGCACGGAGATGGAGCTTTGTGTGCAATTTACCATTTTAATAACCCCTCCCCGAAATCTAAGGTAGTGCCCTGGCCTACGGAAGCTAAGACCGAGCCCCAGTCGCAGGACCGGAAAACTTGCTGCCGGAACGTTTGTGCTGCAGTGTCTCGCCTCCGGCCGGTGCTCATTCGCAAATGGACCGGCTCCACTGAGTGCCTGTTGGTAGGAGTCCGCTTGGCGTTGGGTCTGGAGAGGTTTGGGGTGCTCTGGCAGTAGCTGAAGCAGGCGTCGGGGAGAGTCCATAGGAAAGAAGTCGCCATGGACGATCAGGGCTGCCCCCGGTGTAAGACCACGAAATACCGGAACCCCTCCTTGAAGCTGATGGTGAATGTGTGCGGACACACTCTGTGAGTCGGGAGACAGTGGTTTCCTTGTGGGTGAGACGCGCCGGGTGGGAGGCGGGAGCTGGGAGATGCTTGGACTCGGCTCAGGGGAGAAAAGGGCGTCGTTAGTTTCGACACCGGGGAGGAAAATGGGCAAACGGAGCGTTGTTTCTGTAAACGGACTCGAGCCGCTAGCCCCTGAGGCGCGCTGGCCTGCTTTGGACTGGTAGTACCCAGAGGTAGTACCCAGCAGTTTGTCAGGTTCCCCCCTTCATAGCCCATGTATTTCCACACTCTTGTGACAACTGGGGTCCAGACATGTCGCTGGTAAAAGCGTGGGGGATTGGAATGTTTAATTTCACGCGAAATGTTTTTATTGACAAGGGCCAAATTGCTATGAAAACAAAATTACTGTGAATATATAGTTTGTTTATTATGTAGACTAATTTGAAAACCCCGTCTGTAAACCAATTTGTCTTGATGGAGTTTGGTTAGATTTCTCATCCCTGAAAGGGAGAAAGTCTCGGCAGTTAATTTTGGAGATCGAATGATGGCTGGCATTTAACGAGGGCACATTACGTGCCAGGCACTGTTCTAAGCCTTTATCATGAATTGTCTCACTTCGTTCCCAAAACAGTCCCATGAAGTAAGTACTAGTATTATTCCCATTTCACAGAGAAGGAGGCTGAGACTGCTCAAGGTCCCTTATTAAGTGGGCCCTACTAGAATTGGAACACACCGTGTCTGACTCTAGAACGCTCATTTTTGGGAAAGGGACAGGAAAGAGGGAGGTTGAGTTTGTGTATTTTGAAAAGTGCAGGAATTGGTCAACATATTTCTTGCCACATTTTTTTTAAAAGATTTTATTTATTTATTTGAGAGAGAGAGAATGAGAGATAGAGAGCTCGAGAGGGAAGAGGGTTAGAGGGAGAAGCAGACTCCCTGCTGAGCAGGGAGCCCGATGCGGGACTCGATCCTGGGACTCCAGGATCATGACCTGAGCCGAAGGCAGTCGCTTAACCAACTGAGCCACCCAGGCGCCCTCTTGCCACATTTTTAAAAAAAGATTTTATTTATTTGAGAGAGAAAGAGAGAAAGCGCGCGAGCACGATGGGGGGAGCGAGGTGCCAAGGCATGGGGCGGGGTGGGGGGAAGCCGACTCCCCGCTGAGCAAGGAGCCCGATGTGGAGCTGGCTTCCCGGACTCCGATTCCCAGACTCCGATTCCCAGACCCCCCGGGACATGACCTGAGTCTAAGACAAAGGCTTAACCGACTGAGCCACCCAGGCGCCCCTTCTCACCACATTTTTATGGTCACATAGTTCAGTAAAGGTGGTTTCATAAAGCACTTTGGGATTAAAGGTGATATATTATGGTGAGCATATATTCCTGTAGTTTCTTTGAGGTTTCTTAGAAATAAAAAATGATGGATAACCTACAGTGTGATAGACTAGGTCTTTGGGTAAGCAAAACTTGCATGATCAGTTGTAGTTATTATAATACGGTTTATTAACTTGCTTAATTGGTACTTTTTTCTTATTTTTATTTTCCTTTGCTTTATCCAGCAAAGGAAATGCAGTGGAATTGTGATTGAATGGTTTAAGATTAGAAAGAAGGTAAAAGTAATCAAGTAGAATGCATGGAAAAGGGAAGTGAGACAAACAGTGTATAAAGACTATTAGGTTTTTAGAAAGATTTTGTTCAATTTCTCTTCATTTTCCTGTATCAGGTTTGTTGGTGCTCACAGAAAGCGAATTTGCTTTTTTGGAAGGATACTAAATGTAATTTTCTGCCAGACATTTCTGCCTAAGTAGAAATTATCTAATCGGAGAAGATTGTGATTTCAGCAGAATAAATGGCATTTTTATTAAGACAATTATGAAATAATTTATTTTTAATTAGAGATTGCTTTTGTTGTTTTCCTTAGTCCTTTTTGTTTTCTCATAAGAGTTAAGAATTGTCTAAGATATTGGGGGCCTGGCTGGCTCACTTGGTAGGGCAAGACTCTTGATCTTGGTGTTGTGAGGTTGAGCCTCACATTGGGTGTAGAGATTACTTAAAAAAATAAAACCTTAAAAAAATTGTCAAATTATTCTTGAGTTTCATTTATTTTGGTTTATTTGCTAACTTGTTAGATATAGGCCGCATTTTATAGTTTTTTTTATTTGAAATATGAACAAAATGAATAAAAGAATATAGAGTATTGGCTAAGAGAATAAACTTATGATTTTGAATTCTTTGCACAGTCCCTATAGTGCTTTGGCTTTGGACAAATTACTAAACTTCTTGTGCTCATTTTTCTTACTTGTACAGTAGAGGTAGCAGCACTACCTATATTACAGTGTTTGAGGATCAAATAATACATGTAAAATATTTGGAGGTGTTTTGTGGAGTTTCTGTCTCTACTGTCAAACATAGTATTTGTTTAATATATATTGGCTATCATATTATTATTGTGGATAGTATGTGTGCTAAGCAGAAATGAAATTAAAACAGGACTCATTTGGGCTACTGTGAAAGACTTGCACAATAATGATTTTCTTTAAATGAATTCAAGAGACTATAAGAAGTTAAAATGATAGTTTTAATTATAATTACCCTATTAATGATAGAGTGAGTAGGAGTAGTGATTCATAAAAGATAAGTATAGGATTATGGAAAGATTAATTAGGAGAGTGTACTGTTTATGGGAGAAAATGCAGGAGCAAAAAGGAGAGAAGAGGTGAAACATGAAAATACTTTCCTCCCTTACCTGCTAGTAATTGAGGAAGCATATTCCCTTTTGTATCAGTTCAATCCAGCAAACACCCAAATGAATTGATTACATGTATATGAAAGAAGTTTGGATTCCATGTTTGTTTGTTTTTCAATTCAAGGATGAGCTTGAATTGTTTTAATTACAGAAAAGGGTGATTTTTTTTCTTTTTCAGAACCACCTGTTTTAAGAAACAGGCCTTTCATAGAAATCTTTCAAAGAATTCTGGAAGCATACTGAATTAGATGGAGTCAGTTATATCTAATTCTCATTTAACCAGGTCTTTAATAATTTAATTTTAATCCCAGCCATTTTTGGCAAAATTCGTCTCTTGAAACTTTACATGTATTTGATTTTACTAAATCTACTTTTTTCATTTTAAACATGCATAAGACACAAAGTAGTAGAAAAAGCAAACATGTCCTGATATATAAAAGTCAGTATTTTGCCATATTTACTTAAGATCTTTCTCTCTCTGTCTCTCTGTCTCTCCCCTTTCTCTGTTCCTGTTTCTCTCTCACCTACTGATGAATTACTGAGAGTTTCTACTATGAATTTTGCTGACTGCATCTCTGTGGTATTGTTTAATATGTTTTTTCTCTAAATTATTAGTTATATTGTTGGAAAGAATGATTCATAAGTGGCATTTATTTGTTCTGACCGATATTCTGGACTTATATAGTACCTATATGCAAATTAGGAAACTCTCCTTTGGGCAGGCAAAGTAGGAAAAGGCACTCATTCTGGTAAAATAATTTGAAAAAGGGGACTTTCTAGGTATATTATTGTTAATTTCTAATTTTCTGTTGTGGTAAGAGAAGATACTCTATTAAATTTCAGTCTTTTGAAATTTTCTGAGAACTTATTTATGGTCCAGCAAATGGTCTGTGTTCGTGAGCAGTCAATGTACATTTGAAAAGAATGTTCTGCAGCTGCTGGGTAGAGTGTATTATGAATGTCAATTAGGTGAACTTGGTTGATAGTGTTACTCAGATCTTCTATATATTTTTTTATTATGTTATGTTAATCACTATACATTACATCATTAGTTTTTGATGTAGTGTTCCATGATTCATTGTTTGCGGATAACACCCAATGCTCCATTCAGTACGTGCCCTCTTTAATACCCATCACCAGGCTAACCCATCACCCACCCCCCTCCCCTCTAGAACCCTCAGTTTGTTTTTCAGAGTCCATAGTCTCTCATGGTTCATCTCCCCCTCCGAGTTCCCTCCCTTCATTTTTCCCTTCCTGCTATCTTCTTCTTTTTTTTTAAACATGTAATGTATTATTTGTTGCAGAGGTACAGGTCTGTGATTCAGCAGTCTTACACAATTCACAGCGCTCACCATAGCACATACCCTCCCCAATGTCTGTCACCCAGCCACCCCATCAGAGCTTCTATATTTTACAAATTTAATTTGTCTACTCATTTTATCAATTACTCCAACTAGATTGTGGATCTGTCAGTTTCTCCTTTTAGTTCTGTTATGTTTCATGTATTTTGAAGTTTTGTGATTAGGTACATAGATATTTAGGATTGCTCTGTCTTCCTGATGACTATCACCTTTTGTCATCATGAAAAATGTCTCTTTTTGTCTCTTGTAGTACTCTTTGTCCTGAAGTTTTTGTCTGAATTAAATAGTCATGTCAGCTTTCTTATGTTTACTGTTTGATGGTATATCTTTTTCCATACTTTTACCTTCAACCAATTTATATTAGTAGATAGTTAACATCTTGCTTTTTTACCTGGCCCCAAAATTTCTGCCTTTTAATTGGTGTATTTGTCCCTTTATATTTAATGTAATTATTGAACTCATTGGGTTTAAGTCTACTTGTTTTCCATTTGTTCCTTTTGGTTTTTGTTCTTGTTCCTTTCTTGCCTTATTTTGATTAATTGCATATTTTAAAGTATTGGCCTATTAGCAATAGTTCTTTGTTGTTATTTTAATATTTTTAATATTTTTTGAGTGGTTTCTCTAGGTATAACTGTGTATCTTTATCAGTCTATTTAGAGTCAACATCTGACACGCCCCATTTTTAACTTCCCATTTAATAATTTCGCAAATGTGAACAATATAGTTCTATTTACTCACCCATCTCATCTTTTATGCTGATGATGTATCTTTTACTTCTATATATGATTCAGTATTATTATTTTTGCTTTAAACAGTCAGTTGTCTTTAAGGAAAAGTAGACAACTGAAAAATAGTCTTTATAAAAACATCTTTTTTGAGATATAATTTTTCACATACCATAAAATTAATCC